CTGCGGCGGACTCCTCATGGTCGTCGCGCTCGCGATCGCGCCCGTGTCGCTCGTGCAGCCCGTCGCGAGCGGCGGCGTCGCCGTCCTCGCGGTGTATTCGCACGTCCACCTCGAAGAGAAGCTCGCGACGGTGCGTTCTATACACTGGTTCCCATACGACCGCGTCGGCGTGGTGAACGCCGATCCTTAAGGACTTTTGCCGGCGTCTCTCTCCGCCCACACCTCGCTTTCAATCCCCGACGTCGATGCCTTTGAACGCCAACTGACGCCTTTGAACTCCACCCCGACATCGCTTTGTATGGAACGACCCTTAGCCGCGTCGGGCGCGTTGACGGCGCGCGGGTTGATATGCCAGACGAAAGGCCTCAAGGACGGCAACAGCGTCGTCGTGTGCACGTGCGGGAACGTCGCGCAGATGATAACGTCCGTGGTGCTCGGCGTTTTGGTGCTCGGCGAGCGGCTGCCGCTGTCCACGTGGGCGCGCTTCCGGGGGTGGGCGCTCTCGTGGACGCTCGTGTTGGTTGGCGTCGTCGTCATCAGGCGCGTTCGTATTCACACTGGTTCCCATACGACCGCGTCGGCGTGGTGAACGCCGATCCTTAAGGACTTTGCTCCCCGGCGGCGTCTCTCTCCGCCCACCCCTCGCTTTCAATCCCCGACACCCCTCGACGCCTTTCAACTCCGCTTCTGACGCCTTTGAACTCCACCCCGATATCATCGCTCGTATGGAACGACCCTCAGCGGCGTCGGATGGGACGACCTTCCCGCGGAGTTTTCGTACTCGGGCGGCGGGGGGGGGGGGGCGCGAGTCGGCGGCGGGTTAGGGGGGCTCAGCGGGTTGGGCGCGCTGCGGAGGAAAGGCGCGAACATGTTTCTGCCCGTGATGAACCCCTCGAGCGGGGGCAAGCAGGATGTGTGATTTTTTTTTCTAGCAGCTACAGGTAGAGGATAGCGGCGGCGGCGGTATTTTATCGAGGAACGAGTTCGTTCGTAGTATCTTATAGAGAGTTATTACAAAGCGAATCGTCGCGCGAACGAACATGAATCTGAATCGTCACGTCGGTTCGTCTTCAATCGCAGAACAGCGTCATCGCGGTCGGGTTTCCCGTGACCGGGTTCTCCCCCGAGACGCCCTTCGCGCAGATCTTATCGTTCACGTCCTTCCGAACAATGACGTCGGTCCAGTCGCTTCCGGTGATGTCCCCGAGTTCGTCCATGTTCGCCCCGGAGACGATCGCGCCGGAGAGGTTCGCGTTCGTGAAGATCGTCCCCGTGAGGTTACACTGAAGAGAGAGGGAGGGAGGGAGGGAGGGGGACGCGTCGGTCGATTCGAAACCAAACGAGACGCGGAGGAAGCGCGCGCGCGCGTAGACGAGAGACCACATCACGCGCGCGCCCGCGCACCTGTCCGATGTTCGCGTTCGAGAGGTCCGCGCCCGTGAAGTTCGCGTAGGACAAGTCGCCGCCGAACAACGTCACCCCAGAGAGGTTGCTGTTGCTAAAGTTCGCGCGCTTCATCGACCCCTTGGTGTAAAACTCCTTCGTCAGGTCGCGACCGCTGTAGTCGTTGTCGTCGCACGAGTTCGTGGCGCACTCCGACGTCTGCGGGATGGCGCGCGACGGCGACGTCGTCGCGAGGAGCGTCGCGTCGACGGAGGTCACGAGCGCGAGCGACGCCGCGGCGGCCGCGAGCGCGCGCTTCGCCTGGAGTGGACGGACGGAGAGAGCGTTCGAGACGAGACGACGACGCGTGAGGAAGAGTAGAAGGCACGCGACTGAAGAAGCGGAGATAAGGAGGAGTGTCGGGGCGCGCGATCGATCGGATCGGGGACGACGACGGAAGGACGACGACGACGACGCGCGCGCGGCGCGTCGCATCGGGCGTCTCCGCGACGGCGCGTTCAGGATAGACGCGCGCGCACCTTCTCGAGCGCGGGGACCGTCGTCGTCTCGGACGACGCGGTCGCCCTCGCCGCGACGCGTCGTCGTCGACGAGACGTCGTCGTCGTCGTCGTCGTCTCGCGAGGCGGCATCGAGACGCCGCGCGCGAGCGACGCGGACGCCATCATCGCTCGCGCGCGAGGAGGCGCGGTCGGGGACGTGCGGACGTTCGCGGAGGTGTTCGCGCGCGTCGAGAGCGCGAGCGCGATCGATGCGAGCGGCGGCGACGCGGGATCTGCGCGCGCGCGGAATGACTGACGTGGCGGGCGTGCCGTCGCGTCGGCTTGAACAGTTGAACTTTCGAGACAACGTAACGTTAGGGCTATACAAGCGAAAGTCGGGGTGGAGTTGAAAGGCACAGAGCTCGGGGATTGAACGCGAGGTGTGGGCGGAGAGACGCGCCGGCAAAAGTCCTTAAGGATCGGCGTCCACCTCGCCAACGCGGTCGTATGGGGACCAGTGTATAGAACGCGCCTTATTTTGGCGCGCCCCGGCGAGCTCGTCGACCCGGTTCGGCGTGCGCTGAAAAAAACCAAATACATCGAATTATTCGCTCCCTCCCCGCCCTCCGCGCGCCTCGCAGCCCCCATCAGCCGTCGCACGCGGCGCTATGCACGCGCGCGCGCAGACTTCCCCGACCGTCGCGCTTTCGACAATTTCGCCGCGTTCGTTTTCGGGGTCGAGCATCATGATGAGGTGCGTTCTACACACTGGTCCCCATACGACCGCGTCGGCGTGGTGAACGCCGTTCCTTAAGGACTTTTCCCGGCGTGTCTCTGCGCCCAGGGTCCCTCGCTTTCAATCCCCGTCCTCGACGCCTTTCAACGCCAACTGACGCCTTTGAACTCCACCCCGACGTTCGCTCGTATAGAACGGCCCCGAGACGGCTCGCGGATACGCCTCGCGCGCCGTCGACGACGCGACGCTCCGTCAGCGATCGGACTCCTCGCGCCTCGACCGCCTCGCCCTCAACCCTCCCGGACTCGCGTCGATCCCAAACCCGCGGCTCTCCTCCTCCTCCGACGAGCCCGACCCCCCCGCCGCGCGCACAGCTGGCGGGCTCGACGCCGAAGCCCTCGCTTCCCGCGTCGCCGAAACCGCCGCCGCCGCGCGCCGCCTTCTCTCCGCCTCCGCTCTGTCCTCCTCCGCGTACGTCGCGAGAAACCGTCGCAGGTCCTCCTTCTCGAGCGAGTACATCACGACGAGGCCGGCCGCGGATAAGGCGAGAAGCCGCGCGATTTCCGAGCCGGAACACGCGCGCGAGAGAAACGCGTCGACGAAAACCTCCGCGCCGCGAAAACCTCCCCCGCCAGCTGTGCCCCCGACGTCCTTCGACGCCTTCCTCGCGCACCCGAGCACAAACTCCAACGCCTGCCGCGCGATGAAATACCGGCTCTGGCGTCTAAACTCGAACCGCGTCGCGAAGAGCGACTGCGCGACGGATCCGAACCGCAGCAGCGTCGCCCAGTCCGCGCCCGCGTAGAGGCTCGCCTCCCTCGCGAGGACGCCCGCGAGATTCACGCCTTCGCACCAACTCTCGTAGACGCGCTCGTACGCGCGCGCGTTCGCGGTCCGGAACGCGAGCGCGGAAACGCACGCGAGGACGTAGAGACACGAAAAGATGACCTGGACCGCGACGCGGAAGGAGAGAAGCGCGGCGGCGGCGGCGGCCGCGTCGTCGTCCGCGGTCGCGACCGCGTTTCCGTCGCGCCTCGCGCGGAGGGCTTTTAGCGAGCACGCGAACCCGAAGAACGCGCCGGCGCAGAGGAAGATCTGGTGCGCGCCCGCGCCGCCGCGGATGATCGCCAGGCGCCATTTCCTCGCGCGGTCCATCACCGCGGTGTGGAACGTCGCGGAGGAGTAGAACGGGTCGTCCACGAGGTCCGCGAGGTCGATGTCGCCGCGTCGTCGTCGTCGAATCGGCTTCGGGGGCTCCGGAGGATCCCTCGGACGCCCCTGCGTCGCGTCGGGATCCGCGGGGGCGGCGCGCGCGGGCGCGGGCGCGTCCGCGGCGAAGTCCTCGCTCTTTTTTTGCGCGACGCGCGCGCCCGCGGTTTCTCTCGCCTCGTACGGGAGGTCCGGCCAGTGAAGCGGCATCGCGACGACGACAGACCGCGCCCCCCCCCCGAAAGATCGCGCGTTCGACAGCGCGTGCGACAAAGCGCGCAAGGTTACCCCGCACGTGCGACACTAAATTCGACGAGACGCCGCGCGGGTAAAACGCGAACGCGACGCCGACGCGTCGACCGGCTCCGCGGACGGTTCGTCGCGCCCGACGCCGCTGCTGATCGAGCGCGCGCGCGATGCCGCGGAGGGTGTCGCGCGCGGAGGTCGTGCGAACGCGCGCGCCTCAAGTGTCCGCAAACCTGGAGACAGCGATGCAAGCACTGGGTTTTTTTTAGGTTTTTTTATCCATTCGTGGGTGATGAGTGGATTCTCGGTTGCGACGAGTTCAAACATGTCGTACAGGAATGAGCCAATCGTGTTAGTACCTGCTGACTAAGTTCTCATACTCTATCATAGGGCTCCGAAACACACAGCGTTACTCGCGCTCGGAGAATACTTTTTTGCAATATTTCGCTGACCAAATGCTCATACGCAATATTCGATATTCTATGCTGCACTGCCGAGGATGCCGTACGAAGATTGCCGTCTCCGACGCTGGCGGTCTTCGGCGGGAGGCCGGTCGTCTCGCGCCGTTTACCATCGACCCACACACGACGAGTCCCTAGCGCATCTTCGCACGCGCGGGGACGTCATCGTCATGACGGACGCGGTTGCGAACGAACCCCCCGCGAAGCGCGCGCGCGAGGACGCGCCCGACGGCGTCGCCGACGCCGGCGGCCACCTCCCGGACGCGCCGCCGCCCGTCGAATCCGCCGCCGCCGCCGACGCCGAGCGGCCGATCGACGGATCCGCCGCCGCCGACGACGCCGACGCCGCGAACGACGACGACGCCGCGAACGACGACGCCGCGTACCCCGGCGCGCCGCAGAAGCCGAAAGGCCCGGGCGGGGAGAAGGCGGGGAAGAAGCGCAAGGTGGCGATCTTCCTCGCGTACGTCGGGAAGGGCTACCAAGGCATGCAGCGCAACCCGGGAGCGGTCACCATCGAGGACGAACTCGAGAAAGCCATCGTCGCCGCGGGCGGCATCAGCGATCTGAACGCGGGCGACTTCGCGAAGGTGCAGTGGATGCGCGCGGCGCGGACGGACAAGGGCGTCAGCGCGGTCGGGCAGTGCGTGTCGCTGCGGATGGTGATCGATCCGCCGGGGGTGATCGACCGCGTCAACGCCGCACTCCCGGAGGGATTCGAGTTTTTCGGATACGAACGCGTCACCGGAGGGTTCAACGCGAAGACGATGTGCGACCGACGGCGGTACGAGTACGTCGTGCCGGTGAAGGCGTTCGACCCGCGCGCGTGTAAGGCGCGCAGGGATGTGGAGCTGGAGAAGGACCAGGCCCAGGCCGCCGCCGCCGCCGCCGCCGCCGCCGCGGACGGCGCCGCGGATGACGAAGAAGAGAGAAGAAAAAATTCCGACGACGCGTCGCCGCCGTTCGAGTTCGACGAGACGATGCGCCAGCGCGTGAACAAGATCCTCGGGAACTACGTCGGCACGCACAACTTCCACAATTTCACCGTGCGCGTCTCCCCGGACGAGCCGAGCGCGATGCGATACATCATCTCGTTCGACTGCTCCGCGCCGTTCGTCGTCGACGGCGTCGCCTTCGTCCGTTGCGTCGTCGTGGGACAATCGTTCATGCTGCACCAGATTCGCAAGCTCATCGGGATGATGCTCGGCGTGATTCGCGGCGCGTGGAGCGAGGAGGACCAGCTCTTCGCGCTGAACACGAAAGAGAGCGTGAACGTCCCCATGGCGCCGGAGCTCGGGCTGTTCTTGTGCGAGTGCATCTATCACGCGTACAACGTCCGATACGCGTCGACGCATCCGCCGCTGTCGCTCGAGAATCACCGCGATAAGGTGGAGACGTTCAAGCGCGTGCACATATATCCGCACATGGCGAGGACGGAGACGGAGGAGCAGACGATGGAGAATTGGATTCGGATGTTGCCGGTGAAGCAGATCGTCGCGAGCGTGTCGAGAGCGCGCGAACGCGACGGAGGGAAGTACAAGACGTCGATGAAGGGCAAGGCGCACGCGGCGAAGCGGAAGGCGAACAGGATGAGCGAGGGGGAAGACGGAGCGTCGACCGGCGGCGGTCACGGCGGCGGCGGTGGTGGGTACGCTCGCGTCGTCGACGACGGCGGCGACGACGTCGACGCCGCGGTCGTCGCCGCCGCGGAGGCTGCGGAGGACGGAGGGGGGGAAGGAGACGCGGCGGCTGCGGCGGCGGCGGCGGCGGCGGCGGCGGCGGCGGAGGGCGCGGGCGATATGCGCGCGGTGCCGCCGCCGCCGCCGTCGGTCGTGGGTCGCGGGGGGCGAGGTGAAGGACGCGGCGGCGGACGCGGCGGCGGACGCGGCGGCGGGAGAGGCGACGGGAGAGGACGCGGGAGAGGCGACGGGAAGCGTCCGGACTACGGCTTCGCGGGCGGCGGCGGCGGCGGGAAAGGGTCGCGGGGGCGGTTCGCGGGGCCGAGGCTGTCGAACGCGATCAGGGGCGCGGAGACGAAGGTGTACGAGGAGGGGTACTTCGATCCCGCGGAGTTGAGCGAATAGGGCGCGCGTCGCGCGGTAGGTGGTTTGCACGAGAGGTCGCGGCGCCGCGCGTTTCGTCATCAGACGGCTCAGCACATTTTCATCGTCAGTTGAAAGGGGACGCGATCAAATGTTGAAACCGAGGGATGGGTGAATAAATGTAAATGTATGCGTGCGCGCGCGCGCTCTCTCGAACGATCAGACCGCGACGCGCGGGGCACGCGTACCGCGCCGCGACCGTTCGATCGCGCGCGCTCGCCCGCCGCCGTCGCCATGCCGCGCGCGACGAAAGCCGGAGCGATCCTCGTGAAGCTCCTGTCCACCGCGGAGACGGGGTTCTTCTACGTCAAGGTGCGCGCGCTCGCGTCGGTCGCGACGGATGCGTCCTCCGCGCGAGACGAGATGACGCGACGACGTCGCGTCGCGCCATCGCGCGTCCGTCGCTCCCCCCTCCCCCGCGCGCTACGCGTCCTCGTCCCGTCCCCGCGCGTCACGCATCGCGACGTCGTCGACTCACCCGCCGCGTTCCTCCCCGCCGCCCGCCCGCCCGTCGCAGAGGAGGAACCCTAAGAAAAACCCCGTCCCGCTCGAGTTCGTCAAGTACGACCCGAAGGTCCGGAAGCACGTCCTGTTCAAGGAGAAGAAGCTCAAGTGACGGGTTTCGGGTTTCAGGTCTAGGGTCACAGGTTTAGGGTTTGGTTGGGGTGGTGTCCGAGCATCACATCTTAGCAGGCGCGAGGGGAGCGAAGCGCGCGCGAGTTGACGTAGTCTACGTAGCCGTCGGCGTCGGAGCGAGCGACGACGAATCGAAATCGAAATCCAAACGATATCGCACATCGCGTCGTCGTCCGACTAAGGTCACCCACCGCGTCTATTCTACCGCTACGAACTCGCTCAGAAAAACTTAACCCCGGTGTCGTCCCCGGCGGTGCCCTCTATCACCGCGGCCTTCCCCGCGAGCTGCAGATTCCTCGCCGCGCGCAGGATGATCTCCTCGACGCCGCTCCCGTCCTTCGCGTCCGCCAACTCCGGCATCCCGCCTCCTATTTCCTGAGGGTCGGAGTTCAAAGGCGTCAGCGGTGGAGTCGAAATGCGTCGTAGGGTCGAACGTTGAAACCGAGGGACCCTGGGCGGAGAGAAACGAACGCGCGCCGGGAGAGAAAGTCCTTAAGAAACGGCGTTCACCGCGCCGACGCGGTCGTACGGGGACCAGTGTGATTGATGAGAAGGGACGCGCCCTGATCTCGTCGATCGTCACCACCGCGCCCTCGCGGCCGCCGTCCCGCGCCCACTGCATCAAGCGCTCGCCCCACTCCGGGACGCTGCGCCACAGGATCAGCGCGCGGTGCTTGCCGTCGTCGCCGCCGTCGTCGTCGAGCCACGTCGCGTTGCCGTCCGCGACGAGCGCGTCGACGAACGTCCGCCGCGCGTCGAGCGTGAGGCGTCGCTTTACGAGCGATCGTCGGGGTGGAGTTCAAAGGCGTCAGATGGAGTTGAAAGGCATCGAGGTGTGTCGGGATTGAAAGCGAAGGGTGGGTGGAGAGACACGCCGGGAAGTAAAGTCCTTAAGGATCGGCGTTCACCACGCCGACGCGGTCGTATGGGGACCAGTGTGAGATAGAACGCACCTTGACGTTTGGATTATCAAACAGCGGCAGCGAGACGTCGTCGAGGTTGAGGACGAACAGCGCGTGATGCGCGCAGTATCTGCGGCGGGGAGGGAGAGGGGGGACGAGGGCGCGGGCGCGGGCGCGGGCGGGCGTCGATCGGTCGTCAGGGAGAGGAGAGGACGACGGCGGAGACGCGCGGACGGGGCGAGACGAGGTGAGATGGTTGATGAAGAGACGAATGATGGATGAGGTGCCGTGTCGCGGAGGCGCGCACCGGAGGACGAGCGACTTCCACAGCTCGCACTGCTTGCGGAACGTCTCCGGCGTGGGCTGGACCGTGAAGTACGGCGGGTAGTAGAAGAAGTCGGGGAAGGCGAAGTCGGAGGAGGTCATCGCGCCGGCGCGGACGTGCGCGGCGCGTCGCGATCTGACACGCCAGGCGTCGTTCAAAACGAGGACAGGAAGTCGTCGTCGACGAGAAAAGTTACAGCTGTACCCCGCCGCTCGAGGTCGGCCAGAACGCCCGGCGTCGTCGCGCTCGCTCGCGATGGAAGCGCACGGCCCGTGGCTCCCGATCACGTCCCCGCGCACGCTCCGCGCGTGCAAGGTGCGCGAACGCCGCCGCCGCCGCCGTCGTCGTCGTCTCGTCTCGTCGAATCGAACCGAATCTCTCGGACGCGCCGACGCGACGAGGCGAGGTGCCCACTCAGATCACCGCCCGTCGACCGACGACCCGTCCTCCCTCGTCGCCCACGCAGGACTTCGAGACGCGCCCCACCGACGTGTTCGTGTGCTCGTACCCAAAGTCCGGGACGACGTGGACGCAGAACGTCCTCGCGCAGATCATCACCGCGCTCGAGACGACCGCGACGTTCGCGCACGTCAGCGACGTTTCGCCCTTCTTCGAGGTGCGTTCTATACGCTGGTTCCCATACGACCGCGTCGGCGTGGTGAACGCCGATCCTTAAGGACTTTTCCCGGCGCATCTCTCCGCCCATCCCTCGCTTTCAATCCCGACACACCTCGACGCCTTTCAACTCCGCTTCTGACGCCTTTCAACTCCACCCCGCCATCGCTTTGTATGGAACGACCCTGATGAGATCGATCCGCACTGGACGCATCCAGACGACGAGGCCTCGTCGTCGTCGCTGATACCGTCGATATGCGCGAAACACGAGACGTACGGCCGGCGGTGCTTCAACACGCACCTGCCGTGGGAGCTCGCGCCGCGAGGGGCCAAGTACGTGTACGTGTACAGAGACGGCCGAGACGCCGCGGTGAGCTTCTATCATCATCTGCGCAACCAATCCGTCGACGACGGCGGGTTCGAGGGCGGGTGGGACCGCTTCTTCGAGCGCTGGATCGACGGCCAGATCGCGTTCGGGTCGTGGTTTGAGCACGTCCTCGGTTGGGGCGCCGCGGCGGGCGAGGGCGCGGACGTTCTCGCGGTGGGGTACGAAGAGCTGGTGAGAGACTTACGCGGCGTCGTCGAGAAGATCGCCGACCACGTCTTATTAAACGCGTCGCCGGCGGACCGAGGGCCGCGGTTGACCGAGGCTCAGCTGGACGCGATCGCCGCGAAGTGCGGATTCGACGCGATGAAGGCGGACGTCGATCGGTTCCAGCCGAGAAGCGTGAGGTGGCGCGACCCGGAGTACTGTTTCATTCGAAAGGGCGTCGTCGGCGATCACCGAACGACGATGACGGCGGCGCAGTCGGCGGCGTTCGAGGCGAAAGCGGCGGAGGCGTTCGGACCGAAAGGCGTCGACGACGCGCCGCTGTTTAAGAGCAGAGCCGCACCTCGAGTCGACTCGCCTCACTCGTAGACCTTATGATACATAGTGTCTTATGCGTAGATCTTATACCGAACGAATAATCTAAACATCAAATCGCCGCTTCCAACGACTCGCTCGCCGCCGCCGCCGCGCCCGCCCCCCTCCCTTCTCCTCCCCCTCCTCCCTCGAGATGAGCTCCGTCCCTGAGCGCGTTCAGGAACTGAATCGCCCCGAGATCCGGCCACGGCGACCCGAACGGCGCCTCCTCGCCCGCGGTCCACCCCAGGTGCCCGCCGCTCTCCGTCTCCACGAGTAACACGTGCTCGCTCGCGGCGATCGCGTCTCGCGGCGTCGCCGAACTCACCGCGATCGGATCGTCCCTCGCCTGGACGACGAGAAGCGGCGTCTTCACGTCGCTTATGACGTTCCGAGAAGACGACGCGGCGTAGTACGCGTCCACGGACGGGAACCCGAACGTCACGCGCGTCACCGCTTCGTCAAAGTCGCGCACCGTCTTCGCGGGTGAAGCGATCGGTCAGTCGAACGTCTCACCGGTCAAACGTTGAAAGGGAAGCGCGGGTGAAGAGTGACGACGGGGAAAGTCCTTAAGGAACGGCGTGCACCACGCGAACGGGGTCGTACGGGGAGCAGTCTCACCTTCGCGCGCTCGACGAGTTTCGAGTCGTACAGCGGCAACCCCGCGAACAGGTGCGCGTGCGGCGCGAACAGCGCGCGCATGTTCTTCGCCATCGCGCGCGAGTACACCGTCCCGAACAACCCGTCCCGCAGCGCGACGTCGCACGCGTTCAGATCGAACGGGTTGCACATCGTCACCGCGCCGGAGAGCGGGCACTCATCGCCCTCCTCGCCGAGGTAGTTTGTTAGGATGTTCGCGCCGAGGCTGGGTGAAGCGATCGGTCAGTCGAACGTCTCACCGGTCAAACGTTGAAAGGGAAGCGCGGGTGAAGAGTGACGACGGGGAAAGTCCTCAAGGAACGGCGTGCACCACGCAAACGGGGTCGTAATATATGGGACCAGTCTCACCTCCACCCGGCGGCGAAAATCTTCGCGTCCGGCCACCTCCCGCGCATCTCCTCCACGACCGCGCGCACGTCGCCCGTGAAGCTCGCGCTGTAGAACTGCGGCGTCGTCAGCGGCGAGTTCGCGGTCCCGCGGCAGTTGAACGCGACGACGCGGTAGCCCTCTCGCGACGCGCGGCGAAGAAAGTGTTTCAGGTACTTGTCGTGCGACCCGCCCGCGATGCCAGACATGAGTATCAACACCGGCGCGTCGTCCGACAGCTGCGTCCAGTGCGTCGCGAGGCGTTTACGCAGCACCGTGAGCCCCTGGTCCGGGATCGATCTCCGAAACGGCGGACCGGGGTCCATCACGTTAACATTCGACCCGTCCACCGCGCAGCCGTCGCCGCCGCTGCCGCACGCGCCGACGCCGCCGCCGCCGCCGGCGGCGCCGACGACGCCCGGCACGCCGTCCGGCCTGCTCTCGCTCCTCTCCCTGTGCCGCCTCGCGGCGGCCGCGATCGCGTCGAGGTCGTCGTCGTCCTCGTCGCGGTACCGCGGCACCGCGATCGGCCAATCCAGCGTGACGTGTCCGCCGTCCTTCATTCGAAGCACCTCGCGCTGGTACTCCACGGCGAGGTTCTGTCGCCCCAGCGACGCGACGATCGTGCTCGCGTGCCGGTGCGACAGCGCCTCCACCGCGTCGTACGGCGCGCGGAAGTGCGCGCACGCGTCCAGGAGTGCGCGCGTCAGCGGCGAGTTCCCGTGCGTGACGACCGGGAGCGAGACGCGTCGCGCGCGCCAGAGCTTCTCCGCGAGGAGGGCGACGATGGACCCGAACACCGCGCGGATCATCGCGCCGACGCCGCCGTCGAGGAAGCACCCCACGAGCGCGTCGACGTTCGAGACGCCGCCGGGCGTGCGCGCCGCGGGCGGCGGCGCGGACGCGCGCACGGCGGGGGCGGCGGAATCGGCGTCGGACGCGGTCGCGTTGAGGCGACGACGCCGCGCGTCGGACGCCGCGCCGGAAGACGACGTCGAGCGCGTCGTCATCGCGCGTCTCGTTCGCGTCGAAAACGTGGTGGGCGCGGGCGCGGCGCGCGACGACGCGGCCGCCGCGACGACGGCGGACGGACGCGGCGCCGTCGCGTCGCGGACGACGACCCGAGCGCGAGAGAGAGAGCGCGGACGGGACGTCGCGACGCGTCCGGAGACGCGCGCGAGCCCTGCGGTGACGACGCGCATCGGTCTGTGCGCGGCGCGCGACGCGACGGTCCGCGGCGAGGACACCTGTCAGCGAGTGACGCCGCTTCCTCGACAGAACCACTCGATGACGTCAGAGCGCATTCATTATCCGCGCCGGGGGCACTGCTCCGCGCGCCGAGTCCGGGCCCGTCGCATCGCGCGGGGAAAGGAAATAGCGATGGCGGCGACGATGCGACCGTTCGCGGTCGCCTCCTCGCGCCCGTCGCGCGTCGCGGCGCGCCGCGCGACGACGGCGACGCCGACGGCGACGACGACGACGACGCGGGGCGCTTCCTGCGCGAGGACGAGAACGAGCACCCACCCGACGACGATTCAACGCCGTCGAGCGCTCGACCGTCGCGGACGCCGCGCGCGCGCTCCCGTCGCCGCGCTCGCGCCGAACGAGCTCAACGAGATCGCGTCCGGGACGCTCCTCACGCTCTCGGGCGCGGAGACGCTCCTGGGGAAGGTGTCCTTCGGGTCTCTCCTCACCGCGACGTCCATCTATTGGAGCAAGGCGCGTCATCACGCCGTAACCCTAGGGATCCGTCAGTCCCGTCGTCCGAGATCCGAACCGATGGCGGCCAGCGCTCTTCCTCTCGCCCGTCTCGACCCCCCGACTGACATCGTTCGCTCGCTCCCTCCTCCTCCTCCTCCTCGTCGTCGTAACGCTCGTCGCGCAGGCGTTCTTCACGGACGAGAAGCGCGCGGGGAAGATCGAACAGACCGCCATGCTCGGCGGCAACGTCGCGCTCGCGTCGCTCCTCGCCGCGAGATGGGCCGAATCCGGCCACTTCCCGCTCTCGAACATGTACGAGTCCCTGCTCTTCCTCGCGTGGGGCATCACCGGCGTGCACCTAATCTTAACGGAGAGGGACGGGTTCTCCAAGAGCGCGGTCCCCGGCGCGCTCGCGGCCCCCACGGCGTTGTCCACCGTCGCGGCGGCGACGCTCGCGCTCCCCGCCGAGCTACAAAAGGCGTCCGCGTTGGTGCCCGCGTTGAAGAGTAACTGGCTCATGATGCACGTCAGCGTGATGATGCTGTCGTACGCGACGTTGCTCGTGGGGTCGCTGTCGTGCGTTTCGTTTCTGATCGTGGACAAGACGCAGGGGTGGGGCGCCGCGGATAAGGCGTTGGGGTTCTTGGACGGACTCGTCGACGGCGGCGAGGGCGAGGGCGAATCGGAATCCAATTCGGACGCCGCGGGCGACGCCGCGGTCCTCGCCGCGGACGCGGTCAAGGTGAACCCGAACCGCGTCCGCCCCATCGTCGGCGACGCGGGGGCGCTCGCCGCGGAGTTCCCGGACGCGGCTCTGATCGAAAACTCGGCGCCCGTCGGCGGCGATCGGCTTCTCAGGGAGATGGATAGCCTCGCGTACCGGTGCCTCGGCGCCGGCTTCGCGTTACTCACCGCGGGTTTAATCTCCGGCGCGGTGTGGGCGAACGAGGCGTGGGGGTCGTACTGGTCGTGGGACCCGAAGGAGACGTGGGCGCTCATCACGTGGCTGACGTACGCGACGTATCTGCACTCGAGGTTAGTCGCGGGGAAGAGTAAGAAGGAGAGCGCGGCGATCGGCGCCGCCGGGTTCGTCGTCGTGTGGGTGTGCTACGTCGGCGTGAACTTGTGGGGGGTGGGGTTGCACTCGTACGGGTGGTTCGCGAATAAGTGACGGTGACGACGCGCGCGTGACGCAGTACGGATATGTATTGGACGTCGTGTTCGTCGTTAAGAAGGCATCATCGCTCGCTTCGACCACGCGCGCGCTCTTCTCGGGACGGGCAACTTACAGGAAGAAAAAACCAAACGTCAACGACCCGCCGGCGGCGGGTGCACCGTGACCTCGACCCTCTTCCTTCCAAACTCCAGCGCGCGCTTCCTCCGCCTCACGTAAATGTCTATCCTATCCCCCCCCACGACCCCCCCCCCGCGGTCTTCAACGACCCCCCACCCCATCCCCTCGATCTTCATCCTCGTCCCGAACGGATACACGCTCGTGTCCGCGGCGATGGACCCGTCCACGGGCCCCCACTGCAGCGTCAGCACGCGCGATGCGAACGCGATCGGGTCCGTCAGCGGGTTCACGCGCGTGATCGGCGGCCGCATCGCGCGCGGCTGCTTCCCCGACGCCGTCGCGCCGCTGTACGGCAGCCCCGCGAGGTCGGTCTCGGCCCAGTAGCGTCCGATCGGAAACGCGGTCGCGCCGACGCCCGCGCCGAGCGCCGCCGCGCGCGCGACGCGTCCGCGCGCCGCGATCGCCGCGCGGCGTCTCAGGAACGAGCCGTCGAGCAGCGCGCCGGACGCGACGGAGAGCGCGGTGAGGCACGCGAGCGCGAGCCCGCCGAGCGCGAGGTCCGCCTTGGCGTCCGCGACGTCGCGACGCGGGCGCGGCACGAGCGGCCACTCGCGCGTCCCGCTCGGGCGCGTGCCGAGGCAGAGCGGGACGTAGAACGGCAGCGGGCCGAGCGAGAGGCCCCAGGTCCATCCGCACGAGCGCCAGTCGCTGCTGTACGCGGTCGCCTCCATCGTGCGCGTGTACGGCGCGGGCGGCATCGCGCCGGCCGCGCGAGATTCAAATGATGGACCGGCGAGTGCCGACCCGCAGCGCATTGCGCGATTGCTGGAAAGAAATTCACCCATCCCTCGGTTTCAACATTTGATCGCGTCCCCTTTCAACTGACCGATGAACGTAATTGTGGCCCTGAGCGCAGCGCGCGAAAGAGAAGATCTCTTCGAAGATAACCGTCCCAGGAACAGCGCACTCCTCGACGCGACGATGGCGACGACGACGCACGCCTCCGCGATGGCGGCGGCGACGCGCGCGCGCGCGCGCGGGACGACGCCGTCGACGTCCGCGCCGCCGACGTCGGCGTCTTCGCGCGCGCGTCCGCTCGCGGCGGCGCGGCGGCGACGCGACGGCGCGACCGCCGCGCCGACGCCGCACACGATCGATTATTCGACACGTCGTCGGCGAGGATATACGTCGACGACGACGCTCCGCGCGACGACGACGACGACGACGACGACGGCGGCGTCCGCGTACGAGGCGTTCCCGGAGAAGTGGGACGTCCTCAGGCTCGCGGCGGAGCAGCGCAGAGGCGTCGGGCACTCCGAGGAGGATCGCGCGGCGATGGAAGCCGCGATCGACGCGCTCGTCGCCGCCGCGGCGAAGCGAGAGAGCGATCCACATCCCGCGACGTCGCCGAAGCGACTCACCGCGCGATGGCGCCTCGTGTGGACGTCCGAGAAGGAGACGCTGTTTCTCCTGGAGAAGTTCACCGCGGAGGCGTATCAGGTCATCGACGTGATCGGAAGGAAGCTCGCGAACGAGGTCGTGTTCAAAGGGAACGGGAGCGTCTTCGTGGTGGACTCCGCGATGAACATCGCGAGCGAGAGCAAGTGCGCGTTCGATTTCATCGGCGCCAGGTACGAGTTCGATAATCCGTTCAAGTGGGTGTTGCGACTGCCGCCGGTGGGGAGAGGGTGGTTCGAGAACGTGTACGTGGACGAGACGATGCGGTGCGCGCGGGATAGCAGAGGGGACACGCTCGTCGTCGTGAGGGACGAATGACCGGCGGGCGCGGCGACGGATTTCTTTATTTTATTTTCATCCTCAAGGGAGCGGTTGAAACGCATCGCAGCCTTGATCTCGTCGTCGTCGTCGTCGTCGTCGTCGTCGCGCGCGCTCAATCCGATCGAATCGTCTTACCCCCCACGCCGGCGTCGTCGTCGCCGTCGTCGTCGTCGTCGTCCCTCTTTCGTTTCGCGGTTCCCGCGACGACGACGGCGTCGTCGTCCTCGACGACGCAGAGATCGTCGTCGTCGTCGTCGTCGCCGCCGCCGCCGCCGCCGCCGTCCGCGTCGTCGTCGTCGTCGCCCTTCCCGCCGCTCGCGTCCCCTCTCAGCTCGAACCCTTCCGGGTGCTCCTCATCGTCCCACTCCTCCCTCGGGACGTGCGTCACGAGCAGCTCGAACTCGAACTTCTGCGAGAAGTCCGTGACGGATAACACGTCGCCGCTCTTCACGCCCCCGGCGGGCAAATCGACGAGTCTCGTCGATCGGTTCTTTCGGTACGTCTCGACCTCGTCCTCGTCCAAGCTGTCCCCGTCGTCGTGCTCGTGCAAGATCGTCCTCGGGTGCTGAATCTCCGGCGCGATCATCCCGATCTTCTTCAAGAGCACGTCGTCGATGAGCGAGCCGAGGGTCATTCGCGTCGCGTCGCATCGGAGCTCGACGCGCGCGGCGCCGCAGACGTGACACTTTGGATTCGGCGCGTCCGCGTCGATGGGCTCCAACAGACGATTGTTGCTCGCGAACTGCTTCACGAACGTGTACTTGTACGCGCAGCACTTCTGATCGCGCTGTTGTTTTATGAACGCCTGATGTTCGGGCGTTTCAGGTCCTCCCAATTCAGAGATCTTCGTCGCCGCGTCCGCGTCGATCTCTTTCCCGACGCGCGCGTTTCGAAGCACCTTGAGCGCCTCCAGAACGATCAATCCGCCGACGATGGCGTTCGTCGTCGCCACCGCGTGGACGATGTTCCCGGCCATCCCTTTCGCGTCGAACAGCGACATCGGCGCGATGCCGTAGTTCGAGCTCCTGAGCAGCGCGCACGCGGTGACGAACTCAACCGCGAGGGCGTCGTCTTTGCTGAACGCGTCCGTGCCGCCGTTAACGGCGGCGTCGCGCGAGAGAATTCTCGCCGCCGAGGACACGAAGACGCGCGCCGCGTCCGCGACGCTCCACACCGCGTTCGCGTCGTTCAACCCTAACGCCTTGCACGCGGCCGTTTCAATCAGCGACGCGTCCGCGCCCGCGGCGACGTCGTCCGGCGACGCGCCGCCCGCGAGCTCGGCGAAGCTCGCGAGCGGCGTCGGCGGCGTCCGCTTCTCCCACATCTCCGTCTTCGCGAGCAGCGTCTGGATCTTCCGTCTGAGGGCCGAGGGTCCACACGCAGCGACGACGGGGTGGATTTGAAAGGCGTCAGAAGCGGAGTTGAAAGGCGTCGAGGTGTGTCGGGATTGTGAGCGAGGGGTGCGCGGAGAGTGACGCCGGGAGAGAAAGTCCTCAAGGAACGGCGCGCGCCGCGCCGACGCGGTCGTACGGGGACCAGTGTGTTGTAGACAGAACGCGCCTGAAGACGTAGTCGAACACCTTCGCGGCGAACGCCGCGGGGGACTCTTTCTCGAGTCGCGTGAACGCGTTGAGCTCCACGGCGTCGTCCTCGTCCAGGTCGCTCTTCGCGTTCGGGTCCGCGCTGAACAACCGCGGGAACAGGAGATCCGTGGAAAACACGACGCAGTGGATCGGCTTGTCCGGGGTGTCTCGCAGCGTGCAGATCGGATGCGATTTCGGCGTCGGCTTCGCGACGCACTCGAAGCACGCGGTCTGATCCTTGACGTGCGTCGTGACCTGCCCGAGGTACCCGGTCGTCCCGGATTCCACGAGAGGGACCGACGCGGCGAGGCACAGTCGGTTGACGTGACGCCGCGCGTCCAAGTTATCCAGCCCGTTGAGGCAGACGTCGAAGCGACTCACGAAGTCGACGTCGAACGCCGCGTCTTTCACGTTGCCGTGGTGCGCGGTGATCTTCGCGTCGGGGCGGAACGCGAGCACGGACTCCCTCGCGACCTGAGGGGGGAGGGAGAAGGAGGGGTCGGATGAGGCGACGACGCGCGAGGGAGGACCCGCATGATGAAGTTGGCACGGGTGCCTAGATTGACGAACGACGGGAAGAAGAAAAAAAGCGCGCGCGCTCGGTCGCTCGATCCGTCGACCGCGCGCGGCGAGGCACGCGATGAAGACTCGACGAAAGCGCCGCGCGCACCTTCGCCTTGGACATCCCGACGTGCCGTCTTCGGAACAAGAACTGCCGGTTCAGGTTGCTCACGTCGATCGTGTCGAGGTCGATCAACTCGACGTCGGCGAACCCGCTGAGCGCGAGCGTCTTGAGGAGCTCGCATCCGATGCCGCCGGCGCCGACCATGAGAACCTTGGAGGCGCGCGCGATGTCGAGATCCGTCATCTTCTCAACTGTCGCGTGACCCGCGGAGGTGGACGTCATCGCGCCGGCGCCGCGCGGACGGCGATCGATCCCGCGAAGAGGGGAGGGCGCCCGCGCGTTCCAGATCTGATGAATGAAGTTGTGAAGTTCGGGTGATGGTTCTGTTGTTGAGAGAAATAATTACTGTACGAACGCGAGCGTCCGCTCGGCGTGTGCGTCGACGGTGAGTGAATAAAAAGAAGTACGCGCATTCATAATAAACACACAAACGTGCTGGTACCTACTGTACGCCCGCTAAGACCCGCCCGACTAACAACTCGTCTCGCGTCCCCCGACGCTCAGATCGCCCCCGAGGTGCGTCCTCGTCGCTCATCCGAAAAAGGACCACATCCCGGCCGGCGGCGGCGACGCCGCCGCCGCCACCTCCAGATGCTGCGCCTTACTCCACCCCATGTACGTGATCAGGTGATCGATGAAAAACACCGCGATCGACAGCGTCGGAACTAACCCCACCGTCGTCCCGATCATGAAGTCCTTAGGGCCATTCCATACAAGCGATTGTCGGGGTGGAGTTCAAAGGCGTCAGTTGGAGTTGAAAGGCGCCGAGGGCGGCGATTGAAAGCGCGGGGTGGGCGGAGAGAGACGTCAGGCAAAGTCCTTAAGGATCGGCGTTCACCACGCCGACGCGGTCGTATGGGGACCAGTGTATAGAACGCACCTTAAACCGCACGTTGGACAGCGCCAGCGCGTAATTCAGGATGGGCGCGAGGAAGAAGCACAGCCTCAGCACCGCGACGGTTCGCACCGGGTGCTCGTCCAGCTTCTCCATCGCTTTCCTCACCACCCCCCACTGCAGATCCGCGAGGTACTGCCCGCCTATCCGCCGCACGACGAGGAACGAGATGGCGCACGACGTCGGCGCGAGCAGAAGCGCGAGGACCCAGCCGTTGAATTTCCCCCAACACAGCACGCCGGCGACGATGAAGACGAGCCCGGGGAGGTGCAGCAGCTCCGCGAGGCCGAACCCGACGACGTAGACGACGATCCCGAGGACGCCCGCCTTGGCGATCGCGTCGTGCACCTGGGGGAGGGAGGGAAGGCGGGTGATGAGCGACGGACGATGGAGGAGAGGAGGAGGAGGGCGTCGATGGAATATAATTAATGTATCACTCGGACGACCATCGGCTCGAAGGGACGCGGGGGGCGGACGACGCCGCGGGCGGGCGCTCCCGGGCGAGGCCGCGCCGTCGCCGCGCCTCGAGGACGCGGCGCGAAGGACGCGCGCGCGCGCGGAGGACGCGCACCTTGACCGGGTCGATGTCCGGCAGCCCTTTCTTCGCGACGTGCTGCGCGACGCCGACGACGACGCCGATGACGACGAGAAACGCGACGATCTGCACGCGTCCGCGAAACACCTTCCCTTTGCTTCCGCCGCCGATCTTCTTGCCGGTCGACTGCAGGCTCGCCATCTCCGCTCTCAGGGAGGTGGCCATCTTGGACGCGTCCATGACGACGCAGCGCGCCTCGCTCGCTGTGCGCGGCGGGGTCTGCGCGAACGCACGCGAAAGCGAATCCCTAATAATTTATTCTGACGAGCTCGCGTCGCGTTCGCGTTCTTCGTCGGAATCTGATAAAAGACGCCGGCCGCCGCGCGGGACGGCACACCGCCCCCAGCGCGCGCGAGGTTCGCTCGTCGCGCGCGATGGAGGCGGAGCCGCAGGACGCGCGGTGGGAGGCCGAGCTCGCGAGCCGGTACTCGGACGACGACGGGGAGGAGAACGACGGCGGGACGCGGCGCGCCGACGCCGACGCCGACGCCGACGCCGAGACGAGACGTCGCGCCACGCCGTCTCGCGCCGGAGACGACGACGACGACGGCGGCGGCGGCGAGCGCGGATGGAGCCAGCGCATGGACGAGTTCGACGACGCGGGCGCGGAAATCGACGACGACGACGACGACGACGACTACGACGACGGCGACGACGAGCTCATGCGCGCGCTCGAGTCGCTCGACATGCGCGAGGACTGGGAAGCGCGAGGCGGCGGCGGCGGCGGCGGAGGCGGCGGAGGCGGAGGCGGCGGAGGCGGCGGAGGCGGCCTCGCGACATCGTCCTGGCGCCCGAACGCGAACGGCGGCGCGGGGAACAAGACCCGAGCGGTGAGCTCTCGCGGCGGCGGCGGCGGCGGCGGCGGGCGAGGAGGACGAGGAGGCGGCGGCGGCGGGGGGGGGGGGATCGCGAAGGGCGACGTCGTCGTCCGGCGCGAGGTGGACGTCGCGAGGCTGCAGAAGAAGATTCGCGTCGGGCCCGTCGACTTAAGCGGCGGCAAAGGCGGCGACTTCGGCGGCGCGTCCGTCGGCCAGAAGGTGAGCAACTCCGTCCGAGAGGCGGAGCGGAGGAAGACCAAGTCCGGGAACATGGTGAAGGACAAGGAGGACCGGGCGACGGTGGAGCAGGCTTTGGATCCGCGGACGCGGCTCATCCTGTTTAAGATGCTATCCCGCGGCGTCTTCTCCGAGATCAACGGGTGCATATCCACGGGTAAAGAGGCGAACGTGTACCACGCCGTGACCGCGACGGGGGAGGACCTCGCGGTGAAGGTGTACAAGACGTCCATCTTGGTGTTCAAAGACCGCGACCGATACGTCAGCGGGGATTGGCGGTGGCGCAACGGATACTCGAAGAAGAACCCGCGGAAGATGGTGCAGACCTGGGCGGAGAAGGAGATGCGGAACTTGATACGCCTGCGCGAGGCTGGCCTGCGCGTGCCCGAGGTGAAGATGCTGCGATCGCACGTCCTCGTGATGGGGTTCATCGGCTCCGAGGGCAGGGCGGCGCCGCGGCTAAAAGACGCGGTTTTGAGCGAGTCGAGGCACCGCCAACTCTTCGGCGACCTGCTCGTGGACGTTCGACGGATGTACAACGATTGCCGTCTCGTGCACGCGGACTTCAGCGAGTACAACATCTTGTACCACGACGGCGCCGCGCACATCATCGACGTGTCGCAGAGCGTGGACTTGGACCACCCGCGGTGCTTGGACTTTTTACGCGAGGATTTGTTGCACTTGGGGCAATTTTTCGCCAAGAACGGCGTCGCCGTGCCCACCGTGCGAGAGATGTTCGAATTCGTGACCGACCCCGCGGTGACCGCGGAGAACATCGACGCGTGTCTGGAAGCGCTCAACGCGAGCGCGATCGCGCGGGAGGTGCGGAGAGGAAGGGGCGACGGCGGCGAGGGCGTCGGCGACGTCGGCGGCGACGCCGCCGCCGCCGCCGGGCTCGGCGCGGGCGTCGTCGCGTCGATGAAGCACGTCGCGCTTCACGGCGGCGGAGGGAACGACCACCACGGCGACGACGGGCTCGTGGACGAGGTGTTCCAGCAGGCGTTCATACCGAAGCGGTTGGACGAAGTCGACGCGTTCGAGAGGGATCAGCGGCGGTTGAAAGCGTCGTCGAGCGCGCACGGCGACGGCGCGGAGAGAGAGGTCGGGGGGGTGTACTACCAGAGCATCACCGGCATGAAGCACGACCTGAGCGGGGTGGAGACGACGCCGAAGATTCTGAGGCAAAAGGCGGCGAAGGATCGCGAGGCGCGGAACGTCGCGCTGAGCGACGGGCTCACGGCGACGTCGGTCGCCGCGAGCGCGAAGAGGAGAGAGGCGCGAAAGTCGGAAGCAGACGACGACGCGGGGATCGGCGGAGGGGACGTCGCGATGAAGGGCGTCGACGACTCCGACGACGAGGACGACGACGAGGATTCCGACGACGAGGATTCCGACGACGAGGTCGAGCTCGACGAGAACGGCGACGCGATCAAACGGCGCCGTCGAGGCCGGGCGCCGATCGATAAAGACGCGGTGAGGGCGGCGAGGAAAGAGAACAAAGCCGCGGTCAAAGCGGAAGCCGCGGAGCGTCGCAAGACGAAGATCAAGAAGCACCTCAAGAAGAAGAGCTGCTCGAGAAACAAAAAGTGATCTGCTCTGACGACGAGCATACAGTAGTCTAACATCATTAGTCTAACGTAACACAATAACAAAACGTAAAGTTCATCAAACGACGGTTACTTCGTCTTCCCCGCGCTCGAACACGCGCCGTCGTAATCGACCGGCACGAGCGCCTCCGTCATCGCTCGAAACGCGTCCAAGGAACACAACCCTCCGCGGTGCATCGGGTCTTGACCGACGCACCCGGGAAGCTCCACCGCTCTGCCGTTCACGATGACCCTCACCGCGGCGCCGCCGTCGTCGTCCGGCGCGATCGACGACCCCGAGGACGACCCCGAGGCCGCCGCCGCCGCCGCGTCGTCGTCGGCCCCCCCCGCCGCCCGGTCGACCCAATGCGGATGCACCGTCCCGTTCGCCGGCGCCTCCGGGTCGTTCCATACAAAGCGATGTCGGGGTGGAGTTCATAGGCGTCGGTTGGAGTTGAAAGGCGCCGAGGGCGGGTATTGAAAGCGAGGGGTGAGCGGAGAGAAGCGCCGGGCAAAGTCCTTAAGGATCGACGTTCACCACGCCGACGCGGTCGTATGGGGACCAGTGTATAGAACGCACCTCCTTCGTCCACGTCTCCAACACCACCGTGCTCGCGACCGGCGGCCACTCGCCCTGGAACACGCCGAGCACCGCGAGCAGCGCGATGATGGACGTGTCGTGCCCGCTGTACACGCTGAGGCGCTGCGTCCGCGGGACGGCGAAGCCGCCGACGACGGCGTCGTCGACGGCGCCGTCGCCTCTCTCCGCTCTCATGAACTCCACCACCGCGTGCGCCTCGTCCGCGAGCTCCCTGAGCAGCCTCCCTCCCGCCAGCGACGCCGCCTCGGACGACGCGGCCCTGTGCACGTGCCTCGTCTCCGCCGCCGCGCGGATGAGCGCGAGGTCCTCCGCGCCCACCCCGGGCGGCAGAGGCAACCCGTGGTTCGCCCTCGCCTGCAGCGGTTCCCACACCGCCGTCGCGGACGGCGGCTTCGGGTCCGCGAGCAAGTGCTTCGGGACGTGCGCGTCCGCGGGGTCGGTCCCTTTGAGATGATGCGCGTCCTTCTTGTCCTTCTTGCGCTCCGGGCGCTCGGAGACGGACGCGGCCGCGGACTCGCCGGCGCCGCCGCCGAACTTCGACGACGACGACGACGACGACGACGAATAGATGCCTCCGTTCATCTCCCGCGCCTTCTTCCTCGCCTCCTCTCTCTTCTTCCGTCGCGTCTCCACGTTCCTCGCGTGCACGGCGTCGCGCGTCGCCCGCAGCCCTTCCCTCGCCCACGCCGCCGCCTCCGCCGCCTTCACCCTGTCGTCCTTGTCCAGCTTCCTCATGAGCTCGAGAAGCCTCGCGCACCGCATCGCCGGGTTCGGAAACATGCTCTCGCGTTCCCTCTCCCTCACCTCCACCGGGATCGGCGTCGCGCTCGCGTCGCCGCCGCGGACGAGCTCCGGGTACAGCCCGGATATCAAGCTCTGCGCGGACTGCACCGTGCGCTTCGTTCCCGTGCTTCGCACCTTGACGCGGCCCTCGTTGACCGCCGTCGCGGCGTCCGAGGGCAGGAGCGCGAGATCGTCCACCAGCCACCGGCGCATCGCGCGGCCGGTGTCCGTCAACTGCGCGACGCCCTGCGTCGTGAGCTGCCCGTGCCACGCCGCGCGGTTGAAGAGCTGGTCCACGAGCGTCGGGTTCGGCGGCGACGGCGACGCCGCGGCGGACAGCGATCGCTCGAGCTGTTCGGAGGGGAGGTGCTTCCGCCAGTGCTCTCGCGTCTCGTTCGGGAGCGGGTTGATGGACGTGCGGTCGCCGTGGCGGCACAGGACCTGCACGAGCGCGAGGGAGAGGTCTGGGCGGCCGGAGGGAGGCGGCGCGGGCGCGAATCGCACCGCGCCGCCGCCGAGGTTGCGGCCTTGCCCTTGCTTCGGGGAGACGACGCGCGACGACGCGTCGGGCGTCGGATCTACTCCGGAGTGCGACGGAGTGCCACCGCGCGTCGACGGCGAGGCGGAGGAGGCGGAGGACTCGGCCATGCTCGGGGCGTGGATCGCGCGCGCGCACGCCGCGGTCGCGGCCGCGGCCGCGGCGAGCGCGGTCGCGCGCGCCGCCGCTCGCATCGCCGCCGTCGTGTCTCCCGCGTGTCTCCCGCGCTGTCGTCTGCGATGCCGCGGCGCCTCTTCGCGGAATAGGATACGCGTTTTTTGTTGGGCTTCAGACGATCGATCGTGCGATGTGGGATTCTGTCAGACGTCGTCGCGCGCGGGATGGACGACCGCGCGCTGAAAGGATGGGTCGGCGACCAGCTCCACGCGCTGCTGGGGTACTCCGAGGGCGCGCTCGCGGCTTTCGTCGTCGGGCTGGGTGCGTCCGCGCCCGCCGCCCGGCGCGATCTCGTCCTCCTCCTCCTCCTCCTCCTCCTCCTCCTCCTCCTTCTCGCCGCCCGCGCTGACCGACGATCCACCGCCGCGTCCCCATCCCCTCCACCC